TAGGCACCCCGTGCTCGCTTTTTGTGTGTTCTTTAATTTCCGTTAATTTAAATTCAGTTGAGTTTGACACTTTTCAAGATTTTGACAGCAAAAAAAATCTTCTAACTACCGAAAAAATTCTTCTGGCCGATTCGACATCATTCATATAACATGTGATCGATAAAGCAGCCGTTGTACTTAACCGGAGCCTCTACCTACGATTTGTGTTAATCAGACATTGAACCTGCCTACTTCGGACTAAAGAGAGTCACTCTCACTGAGTGTTGCTCCCTCATTTTTGCGGCCATTTCCGAGTTAAAGAACGCTTTTTGGACTAAATCTGACTACTTCGGACTTTTTCTGACTATTTCTGGGAGAGAAGGAACGCAACTAATAAAAGGTTTGCTCAGAAAACAGTTTTGTCGCTCCTTCTTGACAAAATCGGTTCCTTAGCAAGGCACTGTGTGTGGGTTCGTGTGTGTGTGCAAAGCTTTTCTTCTTCTTCTTCTGCGTATCCAATGCCGGATGTTCGCGATTACATACAAAGCTTTTGTGAGGGAGTTAAGCGAGTGTCAAAACTCTTAATGTCACTGGTGAGCAAATCTCTAATTTTTGAGTCGTGGGTACTAAGTATGTACAATATCAAGAAAAATCAACGATCTGTAACGGTGAAATAGTGTTTACTTTTACACCAGCAACGAAAATATCAATCGATTGTGCTTTTGCAAACTGGTTTTTTGACTCATTCACGAGACAGTGGTTAGAGAAACAAAAAATTTAAACGACCAAGCATTCAAAAGCTCGTAGGTAGGTACCTACCAAGCGAAAATGCAAAAATGTTAATACATTTTTTTTGTATGTGGATATGTATGCACATTGTTGTATATTTTTATGTACATATGTATTGTATATATATATGTATATACATATATACATATGTATCGTCGTTTAAAGTGCAAAACCGTGTATCGGCAAAATGCAAAACCGCGTATGTGAAGTTATAGAAATTATTTTCTAGAGTGTAAAAACACTCATTTCAAAATGGTTCTCTTTTTTATAAAGCAATCGCATTTCTGGCTAGTATATTTCAGGACGAATGGATAATGATTGAGCCAAGAGCTTGTGGGATCAAATCCAATTTTTGGCAGCCAATGTCAGTTATGCGGTTTTGCAGAATGACGATACGCGGTTTTGTACTTTAAACGACGGTATGTATGTACATACAGCCTAACTAAATGTTAGTGTGTTGCATAGTGGTATGTTTGCAAACACAAACGCTAAGCCACTCGACTATTGGAAATTCAGTGTGCTTAGTCATTTTTTTTAATAAATTTTGTTTAAAACTTTATGCAAATTATCAAAGCTAACGGGGTTTAGCATAACTGATATATTTAACGCACAATTAACGCTACAGGAAACCGTTTGACCAGCAATATATGGACGATTACAAAACAAAAGCCGTTATTTCATTATCGCATAAAGTGAATAGCAAAGGTTTTTAGCCAGCTTTCATTTGTCTGAGTGATGGTTACTCAATCCTACAGTGATAAGTGTCGCAAATACAAAAATGCATAATAAAATGAGAGAAATTGTGATTCAGATTAGCGAGGCAAAGTGAATATTCTTTTCGAGCACTCTATACCAACATTTCTGCAATCCTATGTTTATCAGCGTGGATAAGATAAGATTAAAACAATGGGAAATATTTAGCACTGGAATTCAGAATAGTATCATCAAACTATTGTCCTTTATATTCCAGCGACTTAAGTTTGTTTTAAAAAGAGTGCCAATGAGACAGCGTACGTTCGCAGCTGGCAACTCCACCGACAATTGTTAAAAATCAATTGTTGCTCATCATAACTGTTCCAATTTCCCCCCAAGTTACGTGGCTGCCATTTGCAGAGCTCGGAGAATGAATTCACTAAAACTATGTATGTCCAATTATTGTGTTGGTAAAAAGGTAATATGTAAATCGCACGTATATCTATTTAGGAATTTGCTTCATATGACATACATACCTTAATCAGCTTCGAATTTGAAACGATTTCTCAACAAACATAAATTGGCCGTCGTCGACTCAGAGAAGGTCGGTCAGTTTGTTCGCCCTTGGAAGGGTAGTGGCAGGTTCAGTCCAGGTACAAAAATCAGTCCCAGCTTTAGTTTTTAGAGATGTACGTCGCTAGTGGGGCGTCCACCTGCCTGACGATGTCTTTTGTATTGCTGTACTTTACTTTTGCTCCTTGCGCACTGTTGAATAATTTACTATTTAATTAGCAGTTATATACTTTTTCATTCGTTTCACTTTTCGTCTATCTTTCACTGCTTTTTATCTCGTTTTTGCCACTGCTTTCACGTAAATTATACACAATGGCCCACTTTACTCCTTTTCTATTGATTTCGAGCAATTTAACAATTTTAATTTCGTAACTTTCTTCAAGTGAAACAACTATTTTTAATTATCGTTAAATATTTTCTAAATTTCGATTTTATCTTGAACACGGACTTGTTTTGACGGCATCGTCAATTTTTTCGTTTATGATGGCTCGATTTTCGTTTCGGAAGTAGCGCAAAACAAAATTGCTGACGACATTCAGCAGGGTTGCATTGAAAATCATTAGGCTTGTAGAGAGCGTTTATTTTATTTTGTTATATAAAAAAATACGGAATTATTGTTGGGTAGTTGCAAAGAACGTAAATCTATATCTAAATCTATACATCAGCGTATAATTCGTTAGTGTAATTTTTTACTTGTATACGGCCAACACCACCTTGTTAAATACGCCTTGGCTGGTGTCAAGAATGATGTTCGCTGCACCTTGAGTAAAAGCAAAAACCAAGGCGAATTTATACAAGGTGGTATTGATGGCGAATTTACATTTTCGCCGCGGTACTTATTAATGTCAAAATGATTGGGGTGTTCACAGTTCGTTCCAAATAGTGTCTCAAAATGTAGACGTCTACATTTTAAGACGTTTTCTAACCGTAAAATCTGTGGTGTTGTTGTTTCCCATACAAAATTGGAAAACGACGCCGTCTACATTTTGTCACACTCAAAGGTATGTTTTTTACGCGTCTACATTTTGCAACCTCGCAGCAGGGTTGCATTATGGCAATACTAATCACATTTTTTTTATTTATTGGGCACGTTTTCTGTATTTGCATTTAATTTGAGCGCAATTTCTGATGAAAAGAAACAAATCAAGGAAAAGAAATAACAAATATTAGGAATTGGTAATTAAGTTAAATAATTACAATTTTTCAGAAACAAAATCGAAAGGCGATATATAAAAAATGCACGCAAAGAGGAAATGTCTGGCAACACCAGCAAAGTTTTGAGACGATTTTGCGACGACTGCTAGAAAGGGGTGCTCACAGTTTGATGCTAAAGATGTCTCAAAATGTAGACGTCTACATTTTCAGACACAATTTGGAACGAACTGTGAACACCCCAGATGTGTTTCTTGTAATATGAATGCGCCTGGCTTACAACAAACACATCATTTTGACATTAATAAGTACCGAGGCGAAAATCTAAATTTGCCATCAAGACCACCTCGTATAAATTCGCCTTGGCAAAAACAAAACACATGTAAGGCGAAGAAATCAGCTGATTTTACAACACCACCTTCAAGGCGAATTTATACAGGTATTTTGTTTTTGCTTTTACCAGAGAACGTTTAAAACAGAGAAGCAGCTCTGTTTTAAACGTTCTCTGGTAAAATCCTGAAAAAATGTCAAACAGCAAAATTACCGAAACATTTAGGTTTCGAATAGAAGCGCATATGAGCCAAAAATATGGAAAACACGATTCAGGAGAGACTCGCCTATCAAAACCCGAATGTAGGAGCCAATAGAGCTTTTAATCATGATCCAACTACACAAGATCTGACAAGATGAAGCAAAAGAAAAAAGTAATTATCTGGCTGACGGTTGTAATTTCGGCGCCATGTTATTTTCTGTGAAAAGTAAACAAAGAATATGAAGACGAAGCATAAAGAAGAAATGCAGACAATGTTGTGCACATATTTGTGCTAACCAATTTATTATTTTTGTACGTGTTTTTGCATTCAATTACCGCGCACTTCATTTTAATTACATTTGCACAAAAAATCACTTAAAAATTAAGCTGCCTTTACATACGGAGATTTTTTGACAGGCGATAATCGCCTGCAAAAGTTGACTTGCTGTCTACTTTGAGGCAAGCGATTTTTGTATCACCATTTACACGAGCGATTTTTCCAGATTTTTTACTGAGATAAATCACCGACAAAATACATATAAAAAAAGAAGCAAAACAGAAATAGCAAACTTCAAAATTACGAACGTCACACACTTTTTCACAATTGCTATTACAAATGGCTGCTTCTCAAACGGTCTGATCTGTTCTAATTGGTTCATGGCTTTTAATACTGATTTAAATTAAAGATGTATATACAGGATCTCCCCCCTGAAAGGCTTCTTCATCCGTCGAAGCATTTTTCTTGAACCTTGGATCGACTAAGGTAAATACTGATAAAATAATATGTTGCGATAAGTGTTTTAGCCGTTATCATATAAATTATTAATGGAAGTTCTTTCTAAACTTGAAATGCATGTAATGGCTAGGGTTACCGAAAAGAAATACTATTGGGTACCGAAATCTGTTTTGAGTTTTGTTACCGAGTATTGGGTACCAACAATTCAGTACATCACTACACCCANCCAAATTCGGGTTTTCATGCAGAAACATAAAACTTAATTACATTGCTGATAATTTTAAATCAAAATAATTAAAATCCACAGCAACTTTGATGAGTAAAAAAGCGGTACAACGTTGTTTTCTTGGCGTTCATTGTGGCATACCTTTTGCGTCTGGCGCTTTGCTGGCAAAGTTATAAATGTCACGCAAAGCTACAAAGTTTTATCTGGCATCAGCTTAAGGTTACTGAAAAGAAATACTATTGGGTACCGAAATCTTTTTTGAGTATTGGTACCGAGTATTGGGTACGACAATTCAGTACATCACTACACCCAAAGCCGGGTGCAAGGCGAATTCGCCTTGGACAGGTGGTTGTCAAAGCGCACATTTGCCGGCAAATAAATTTGCAAATATAAACAAAGAGGCAATTGTATTAATAAATAAAATGAAATTTTGGGTTTTCCTCTTGACTTTAATAGCCCGACATCAGTATACCATTTCGCAAAGTGAGAACGCTTACTCTAGTAATATCTGCACAAAGGATAGCAACGAAAATTGCTCTTCCATTGAGATTGATGGTGTCGAAAATGGTAAACAATTGTTTAGTTTATAACCCCTTTTTATAAAATTCCATATCTATTAGACAACCATATAACTGAGGAAGTAAGAAAATCATTAGAGTCCTTTGTACTCTGTGCGGATGAAAATGATGTAGATTGTAGATGCCATAGCGATGTCTTAGTAAATGACCTCAAACCGTTTCGAAAAAAGGGGATCACTCAGAGTATGGTAAAGACTTCCGCCAAATATGGAACACGATACAAGATATTAAACCATCGTCTTTATCGCGACAAAGAGTGTATGTTTCCGGCGCGATGTAGTGGAATCGAACATTTCCTACTAAAACTTCTGCCCGAATTGCCTGATATGGATATGGTCATAAACACTCGCGATTGGCCGCAGGTACCATCAGGCCTTGGTGATAGAATAGGACCAATATTCTCATTTTCAAAAACAAAAGACTATTTAGATATAATGTATCCGGCATGGACCTTCTGGGCTGGAGGACCAGCCATTTCCTTACATCCGACCGGCATCGGTCGCTGGGATTTATTACACGAGAGTATATCAAAAGAAGCTGCAAAAACAGCTTGGTCAGAAAAACTTCCGTTAGGGTTTTTTCGGGGTTCTCGCACTTCGGACGAACGGGACGCATTGGTGCTTTTGTCAAGGCGTAGACCAGGTTTAGTAGATGCTAAGTACACAAAAAACCAAGCTTGGAAATCACCACTAGATACCCTCAATGCTGAACCTGCAAAAGAAGTGTTGTTTGAAGATCATTGCCGATATAAATACCTATTCAACTTTAGAGGTGTAGCAGCTAGTTTTCGCTTCAAGCACTTGTTTCTATGCAACTCGTTAGTGTTTCATGTGGGTGATGAATGGAATGAATTTTTTTACCCAGCCTTGAAGCCATGGGTTCATTATGTGCCATTGAAAAGTTATCCAAGCGAGCAAGATATTGAAAATATTATACAATATTTTCTCGAGCACGATAGTTTAGCTCGAGAGATTGCTGAACGTGGAAAGCAGTTTATTTGGAATCATCTCCGTATGCAGGATGTTGAGTGCTATTGGAAAAAACTGTTATCACACTACCAAACGTTAATTAAATATAAGGTTGTGTCCGACCCAGAACTTATTCCGATTAAACCTAAACAAAGAGTAGAATTATAAAGCATTTAAAGAATCTCAAAAGTATTGCAAAATTATAATAAAGCTAAAAAATCGCAAAGTTTACAAAACGTCGATTTGTTTACTATGATAAATTTGAGGTTAAGTTTGTAGTCAAAATTAAACGTCAAAGTCAGATGGCTTTAATAGTTTTTGTTATTGCATCAAAATCACAAAGTGCATTTGCATTAAAGTTGTGTAAAAAATAAATTAAAGTTACAGTTCTTGTTGATTTTAAGTTATAAGACAAATGTCTTTTCGGGAGGCATATAAATTAGCCAGTAAGCAATCGATTCGCTGGTTTCCCGGACACATGGGGAAAGGGCTAAAACAAATGCAGCAGAAGTTGAGGTCCGTGGATTGTATTGTTGAAGTACATGATGCCCGCGTTCCTTTTTCCGGACGAAATCCGGAATTCAAACATACTATATCCGGTGGTGCAAAGCCCCATATTCTTGTACTGAATAAGAAAGATCTTACAGAAATTCGCGAACAACGGAAAATTGCCAAGGAGTTGCATGAACGTGAAGGTATTGAGCACGTTGTGTTTACCAACTGTAAGGACCAGCAATGTGCAGGTGTCAAACGGGTGATACCTTTAGCGCACAAACTAGTTTCGTCATCAGACCGCTATAACCGGACAGGTTTGCAAGATGCAAGTATCATGATAATTGGAGTACCAAATGTTGGTAAAAGCTCGCTAATAAATGTACTACGTAACAAAAATTTACGCAAGAAAAGTGCAACGCAAGTTGGAAATACTGCTGGTGTAACCCGTTCTGTTATGGAACGAATAAAAATCAGCGTGGACCCATTGATTTATATGATTGACACACCTGGAATTTTAGAACCCTGCGTAGCTGATGATGAAATGGGTATGAAGTTGGCGTTAGTGGGTTGTTTGCCGGATCATTTAGTGGGAGAAGAGTTAATTGCTGATTATATGTTATACTGGATGAATAAGCATCACCGATTTGAATATGTCAAAGCAGTTGGACTAGAACATCCAACGGACAATATTGCAGAAGTTCTAGTGTCATTTGCAAAGAGCATAGGAGTAGAAAGAAAATTAAAAAAACTCGATGGCCAAGTGGTAAATCTGCCGGATGTTTTGGTAGCGGCTCGCAAGCTTATCAAAAATTTTCGAAATGGCGACTTCGGTGGTGTTAATCTAGACAGATGATGTATTTTTCTGCAATAAAAATTTTAATTTTTTTTTTTTATGAGTTATGTACTTGTAATTTATTGGAATGCACATAAGCATTAAAAATAGCAAGGAACTTATGTAGAAAGCCCTTAAAAATGCCAGATTATCCTTTTTTAATTAATTATAAGTTTCGATGAAATAGCAAATGAGGAAGCAGCACAAGTAAGCAAAACTGTAGCGTGAGGTTGATATGGCTTCTGTTGCTCTAATAAAGACCAGGCATATTAATTTTTCTTTAAAATCTCTAATGTACAGACATCGGCCGGTTAAAATTTTATTATATGTAAAGAAATGGTGAAATCATATTTTGGTAAAAACTTTACTGCAAAGCTGAAGTATCTAAAAGGGGCACATCTATTGCGATATTGCCAACGCCGGGTACTGGAATAGAATATGAAACTGCAGTAGCATCAACGCTTCCAGTGCTTTCATTAGCGGTGTGCTGCGTAATGTCATCTGCAGCCAAACTTGTATTTACATTATTTACAGCATCTGAATCACCAGTAGTCATTTGTTCGTTGATGACCGTAGGTTGTAACTCATTCATATTCATTACACGTAGTTCATCGGGAACACCCAGCAAGCGTTCGTTAATGACGCGCTGAAATGGCGAACGTCTCTCGAAAAAGTCAATTACAAACTCGGGATTTTTCTGTCGCACTTCTTCTCCTGCGACCAAGTCAAGCTCATCACAAAATTGCCACTTTATTAAATATGATACATCACCGGTTTCGTCAGTTGCTCCAACTATTTGCTCCATTGCAAGACCACGTTCATAGCCCCGAGGCTTTTGGATTTCTTCAACTTTGGGTTTCTTCTCTCCCCGTTTCTTTGATTTAGCTCGAGACTCTTCAAACTTTTGTATCAAAGCTGGACAGTCACAATTCTCCTCCGGTTCCCATGTATTTTCAGCGCTGTAAGCAAATTTGGTAGAATATAAAAACGTACATACAAACATGTCGGCTTCAAACACTCTCACCTTGGATATCCTCGCCATTTAATGAAATATTCAACTTTTCCTTCTGGTGTTATTCTTTTGTCACAAATCTTCTCCACCACAAACCCAGTTTCCTTTACTGCACGCACCATTTTATTAATTATTTGAACAAAATTTTGGATTTTCGACAATTTCCACAAATATGGCGTCTATCATGAAAATAACAACCACACGGTTGCATCTCTGGGAAATTTTCGAATGAATATCCCATATATTTTCCCGTGGTGAAATCGTTAGCCCCTCATCATCCNCAGTTTCCTTTACTGCACGCACCATTTTATTAATTATTTGAACAAAATTTCGGATTTTCGACAATTTCCACAAATATGGCGTCTATCATGAAAATAACAACCACATGGTTGCATCTCTGGGAAATTTTCGAATGAATATCCCATATATTTTCCCGTGGTGAAATCGTTAACCGCTCATCATCCAATAGGAGCGTTCCTTAACAAACCGCTTGAGGGAAATTTGAGCAAAAATCAAAATTTTTTGATTTTCTGGCCGCCATGTTGATGTTTGATCAAACCGCTTGCGTTGTGTATAGCAAAACCTCCTCATTCGCAACGAAATTTTCACCGAGTAAGGACGTAAGAGAGGAAAATGAAAGAAAATCATAATATTTAGCATTGCGAACTGGAAGAAAACTAAAATTCTTTGCTTGAACGAGTCATGTTTGCATGGTGTATGGCGAAATGGGAAAAGTAGGTTTGAAGAATGTTTGACAAGCCGCTTGTGTGGTGTATTTCGCTCTTAA